TTAGGTGTCGGGGCTCGATCAAATGGCTCGGGTGGCTCGGAAGTTGCTCGAAAATAGCAAGAACGCTACGTATCCCATGTATTGTAAATGAGACCTAAACAAAACACCAAAAGAGACGCGAAAATACGGAAAAATACACGAACACATAACAAAAGCGAAAACACATAAAATACAACGAAATGGACCGGTTAGCACTCAAACGAACCTAAAACGACTCGACTAATACATACATCCACAAAAATATGCACAAAAACATAACAAACATCAACCGGTCCATTTTGTCGTATTTTATGTGTTTCTGTTTTCGTCTTGTGTTTTTGCATTTTTGGCGTATTTTCTTGTCTCTCTTGGTGTTGTTTAGGTCCACCTTGTTCGAGTTGGGATGATGAGCCATTTCCGAGACATTTTCGAGCCATGTCCGAACCTTATCCAAGCCATCCAGACTATTTTTTAGCCATCCTGAGCCATTTCCGAGACATGATCGCGCACAAGACATTAACTGCGAAATCTAGTTCGCAAGCGCGCTAGACGCTTAGGCCACTCTCATCGAAACACTGCTCTTGTCGTGCGAAAAAATGTGTGCCCTATACACCAAGCCTAACGCTCGCGGTGAAACTTTGCTCGCGACCGGCGAGACACGAGGCGCGACCCGAGGAGCCCAGCAGTTGCACTCGCCGCAAGCACTTTCTCGCGACCGGCGAAAATAGAGGCGCACGCTCGCTGCCCAAGCCGGCTCTTGCTGCGATAGAGTTCTCGCGACCGGCGAAACACTAGCGCCAACATCAAGCCAGCCCGCCACTCCTGCGAGACGCAACCCGGGGCAGCCTAAGCCCGACACTCGCAACAAGATTGCTTTCGCTACCCGCGAGCACCCCGTGCAAGATGTTTTTCACCTCTAAACTCGTTGCGAAGTGATTTTCGAGACCTGCGACTTAATTGTTTGTGTTCCTAATGTGTGCCTTTTGTGTGGCACTATAAATATATTTAGTGTATTTGGAATATCTAGATTTCATTTTTTACTATTCCACATTAGGAAATGCTTTCTAGTTTTTAGTTTTCTCTCCATTTTTCTTTTTTAGCTCTATGACATCATTTTTCTGGCATTTTCGTTCTCGTTCAAGTTCCGATCATTTGAATCTGAATCTCATCTAGCACGCAATAGAAGATTGAGTATTTAATTCTAAACCTCAATACTTCATCACTGCCTCGTTTTTACTTATGAAGCTTATCGAGTAAATTTGGGTGTTTGCTTGATGAAGGATGGAATAGTTTAATGTTTTTATTGATTGCCTAAGTGATTGAAGGGATTAATTACTTTCTTATCTAGTTAAGGGTTGAGACTTTAATTAAAACTCAATGACTTTGGGTTAGAAGGCTAGTATTAATTACCTAGGGCTTAGGTTTTGCATATTTCTCTTTGTTGTGCATTGTGTTTCAATAGCATAAAGACAACGGTAGTGTTAATTTTCATATTTTCTCGTTTTGCTCGTTGCTTTCAGTCGCTCTTAATTCCTAGTTAAGCTTAGCATTAATTCATCCTCAATAGCATTGACTATAATGTTTAGGTCTTGTTTTTTTGTTTTGTGTTTTGGACAATTGATTAGCGAACAAAACTCCGAATAGTCTTCCTTTGATAACGACCCGAGTCCAGGTAGCTCGGACCATCTACCCCACTATACTACTAAACACTCGCTGGTCCTGAAGCCATCACAAGCGTCAGCGTTCTATTGCCTCCCAAGCCTTAACCCCTGATTCTTCTTCCTCAGTCACAAAACATCCGGTGGTTTCATACGATTTCTAAACTCCGACGACGAGCTCGGGCAGACGCAGGCGTATTTCGTCCTCCCGGCAAAGAAGCTTCAAGACCAATTAATCGTCGTTTACATGGAAGCGCTCGCCGGCATAGACGCTTCACGATGGAGCCGGCTACTATTGCGGCAGCGGGTCTAACTGCGGCGCCAACCAGGACCGACGGGGATTGTTGCGGTTGTGAACCGTGTCTCCGACTAAGATGTGGGCTGTCGGCAAACGAGTGGATAGGTTTTATGTGTGTGTGTGTGTGTGTGTGTGTGTGTGTGTGTGTGTGTGTGAGAGAGAGAGAGAGAGAGAGAGAATGCCCACTGAGTTGGTGGTTTGGATGAAATTACACCACTGCCCTCAATGTATTTATTTGACCAGGAGATAGTAATATATTTTCAATTTTGTCACCGTGGGTTTGACCATTGTTATTCAATTTTGACTTTATCATGTCCATTGATATAATGGATTCAATAGTCCAAAATTATTCTTAGTTCTTTTACTATTTGCTTTCTCATATGATTCTACTTATATCATAGATTTTTGAAAGAAAAATGTAGTTTAAACTGTGTGAGGCTGAGCATAGGACTCGGAGAATTTTGCACCTTTTAGAAAACTGAAGCAAAATCACTCTTAACCGAAAAATATCCGTTGACCATTTGATTTTCTCCAAACCGAACCGAACCAAACCAAACAGAAAAAAATAATCGGTACAGTTTTGGAGATTTCACAAATATTCGTACCGAGAACAGAACTGAACAGTCTCATACTGTACCGAATCGAAGACCGAAATTAAGAACCAAATTATAACATTAGATGTGTGTTTTTTTTAGTTACTTCCGAAGTTTATTTCAAAATAAAATGTTTAATATGAGAAAGTTTGATCAATATTGGTTATTTTCAAACATTTAAAAATTTAATAACTAAAGTTTAGAGTTATTTCTAAAGTTGATTTCAAAATAAAATCTTCAATATGATCAAATATTGATAAATATTGTTTTTTTCTAAAGCATATAAAATTAAAATATAACTAGGTAGTAGTCAGTAAAAAAATCCAAAAATTCAAACCGAACAATACCGAATCGAACCGTTCCGATAGTCCCGAAAACTGAACTAAATCGAACCGAAAAATAAAAATCTCCAAATCGAATTGTCCCGATTTTTTGGTACGGTTTCGGAAATCGAATTTAGTGATATTCGAACTTTATTAGTACACTTAAACTTTCACTAATCACACCCAAAAAGAAAAAAGACAAGACAAAAATTATATATTATTATCCAAAACACCAAATCCGTGTTTGATACTGACTGATCAATCAAAGCAAGGACTTAAAATTAAAAGTAAGTTCTAATTTTATTTTTTTTTTGGTTGGTCAATACTCAATACTATCCCTAGCCATTTACCTCCTGCCCCAGCTCATCAGTCCTTGAGTACCGTTTAAAGTAACATCCCTAACACCATCACTGCTGCCTCCTCCGTCTTGCCCCACCGGAGCTCCGATGCAAGTGTAGTTTCCCTCCGAGAGGACGTGCCCAAGAAAGAAATCACTTGTCGTGGCCGGTGGCAGTGGCGGTGCCGGTGCCGGTGGGTATTGTGTATGGAAAGACAAAAGACGAGGTGGCGGCGGTGGCGGCGATGTGTACATGTATGGTGCCGTCTGTGGCGGTGGCGGTGGGGAGGTCGGAAATAGCCGTGTTGTCGGGTACATTGGTCGGAACCCCAAACCCGCGTCCACCATGTGCGAAATTGGTTGCCCACTGTTCAAAATATATTTTCTTTAAATGAAAACTAAATTATTTTATCAAAACAAAAAAATTAAGAAGAAAATAAATTAATTAAATTTAATTTTTTTTTTGGTACAATTAAATTTAATTTAGGGTACCCCGAAACATAACCCAAGTGAGTTGGCGCTAAGTCGTTGCTGAACACCAGTTGACGGGCCTTGTTCAGTGTTTCTGTCTCCCTTTCTGAGAAACAAAAAAACAATTATATATTTTTGTTTAATAAAATTAAATAAAAAACAAATTAATGTGATTTAATGTGAATAAAAAATTAATAAAAATTAGAAAAAAGAAATAGGTAGGCATTAGGGAAGCTAATTAAGGTACCTTGGCGATGGCGGTTCATATGGCCGCCGAGGGCTTGAGATTTGCAGAACTTAAGGGAACAAAACCTGCACTCATATACTTTTCCGGCGGCAGCTTCGTCGGCACTGCCTTCCTTACCGCCGCCGCTTTTCTTTTTTCTGTGCTGCCCGAGCACTGCACCACCTTTTTTATTTATTTTTTTCCAATTAAAGCAACTTTGATGAGACTAATCTCTTACCTAAAACCACCCCTTCAACCCTAATTTTTCTCGGAATATTCCTATCATCTCAATATTTATTTTATGTATTCAAATCAATTAACCTTATATTTATTTTTATTTCCTCCTTTGTCTTGTCATCTTTATACTTTCTAGGGTTTCGTTCTCATGCTCCAAAAGCCAACCACTAATTTTAATTCCAAAATTTAAAAAAATAAATAAATAAATTTGAGAGTAATTGATAGAAAAAATAAATTTAAATACAAAAAAAAATTAAAAAAAAAAAAAAAACTTGCTAGCTTGAAAATATTTCTCATAATAGCATAGCTGAATTAAAAATTGTTCTCATGCTCCAAAAGCCAACAACAAATTTTAATTGCAATATTTTTTTTAAAAAAAATAAATAAATAAATTTGAGAGTAATTGATAGAAAAAATGAATTTAAATACAAAAAAAAAAAATTAAAAAAAAAAATCTTGCTAGATGAAAATATTTTCTCATAATAGCATAGCTGAATTAAAAATTGTTTTGTGTGTGTGTGTGTGTGTTTCTTATTTTATTTTTTGAAAAAATAAAAAAGAAAAATAAAATGAAATTCCATATATTTGTCTTTTGTTGTCATTATTTGAGAGAGAGAGATATATATGGAGAAGAGCTGAAAAATGAAGTAAAATTGCACAGAAGATAAAGTGAAGGTACCAGCAGAAGAAGAGCAATCCTCCTCCTCAGTGACTTGTTTGCCATGATCTCTTGTGCAGTCTTCGGGTAAGTTATTCAGGTCTAAAGGACTATTACCCTCTGGTCTCCTGCAAAAACAAACCCAACAACAACAACATATTATACCAAAAAAAATTAAATAAAAAAATTAAATTAAATGTAATAAAATAAAATAGACTAGTAGTAGTAGTAGTAGTGTGGTCTCATTTAATTTAATTATCATCCTTTAGAAAAAAAAAATTAAATAATAAATATTGTGGGGTTGAGGGCTACATACATTGGAGCTAGCAGACAGTGAAAAGACACAGATGATGGAGAAAAAAAGAGGGGGGGAAAAAAAAAAAAAACAAAGGAAAAAAAATGTTTAATTTGTGAGAGATCAAAAAAAAAATAAATGTTTCCTTTAGAGAAGTAAAAAGTTTTGGGGGTGAAAAATTTTTTGTAACAAACAACTTTCAGTTTGGGACTGAAAATTTGTAGGAGAGAATAATGTAGTTTTAGTTGAGTGAAGTTGAAGAAAGGAGTGTGGTTGAATGTTCTCTATCAGTTTTTTTCTGCCAGCCCCTGTGGAGACATCTCTCTCTCTCTCTCTCTCTCTCTCTCTCTCTCTCTCTCTCTCTCTCTCTCTCTCTCTCTCTTTTGTTTCTCTCTCTAGAATTGAAAGAACATAAAGGAGATATCATAGATAGAGAGAGTTGGCCTCTCGTGACTATAAAAAAAGCAGGTAATAAAGGGTGGATTAGGAGCCAAGGGCTTCATGAGAGGGACTTGGCCTTGTGTTCTTTTCTTGGCTCTCTATGTTATAGCTAGGTTTATTGCCCTAGCCTCTAGGGCCAATTAATAAAGAGAGAGAGAGAGAGAGAGAGGGTAATAATCAAGAATTATTTAAATAAATAAAAAGTGATTAATATTGAAATGAAGGGAGATGCTACGGTCCCGTTACGGAACTATTCCGTCGGGGTTTGTATAGGACTGCAAATGAGCCGAGTCGAACATTGGCCTTATCGAGCAGGATTGAATTTTTTTTTTTTTTAGCTGCTTGAGCTCGAGCTCGACTCGATAAAAAATTACAATAGCTCGAGCTCGGCTCGAAATCAAAATGCTCGAGTTCGACTTGAAAATTTTTAAGTGGAAAAGTAAAATACCATTAATTAAGCACCTATGCTAATATACATAATAAGGGGTATTTTAGTAATTTAACGTTTATCTCGAGCCGCTCGAAAAAAACAAAATATGGGCCCAAGTTCGGTCAAACTCGAGCTCGAGTCGCGCTTTGACTCGAGCGCTCGCGAGCTGCTCGATTCGTTTGCAACCCTATGTTTGTAACCATTAGATCAACTATCCTCGACGGTTACATGATGATCGAACGGTTACAAACCCCAACGGAATAGTTGCGTAACGGGACCGTAGCATTTCCCTGAAATGAATTTAGGTAATTGTGAATTATTATTATTATTTGATAATAATAATAAAAAGTGCTGAAAATCAATTGAGACCACATATAGGAGGATGAATGAAAAGTTGTGTAATATTGGTGGCAGATAGCAACAAACCCTAGTCGTTCAATATTGGTGCAGTGTGGTAAAGATAAAAAAAAATGCCTCAAAAGGGCAGTCAAGACAAAGGGTTTGCCTTTTAGACATGACTGTGCAGTTTAGATGAGTTTTCATGTAATAAAGAGCACGCTGGAGATGATCATGATGATCTTAACTAGTGTAATATGGCATATATATATTGGAGCCTATGGCCTCATCCTCCTCATGGGTGGGTGTCATTGTACTCGTGTACCTTCCCATTGACAAGTTTCTATCAATTTACCACTTGAAATCCCAACACACCCATTAATCATATTATTATTTCTTTCTTGGGGTTATAATGTAGGGAAATGTTATGGTCCCGTTACGGTACTGTCCAGTCGGGTGTTTTAACCGTCGGATCATCTACCTTATACTAATTACATGTGTATCCAACGGTTAAAACACCCGACGGGATGATACCGTAATGGGACCGTAATATTTCCCTATAATGTATGTATGTATGTATGAGTTTCATGTGCAACATTTTGTGTATTGTAATTTTTTTTTTATTATGTGTTTTGATCGATTTCGATGTGAAGCCAACAGTTGGCTGCATCGTGGAGTCAACCTTCAGTTTATATAGCTTAGGTTGTATTTTATTTCGACATTTTTAGTTGATATTTTATGTTGTTTAATAAAATTATTAACACCTTTTATGTAAAACTAAAATATGTTTTATGTTGTAATGTCACTAACCACCAAAATATGAAAATTTACTATTTGTATATAGAGATTTAAAGTCTAATCTATGTTGTCAATGATAAAGAAGATTAGCTTGTCAATGGGAAGGTACACTGTTTATAATTGGACAATGATAAAGAAGATTAGCTTCTGCCACTTTTATCATAAAATATATAGTAAGTATTTTACTTTATTATAGAATATTTCAAGAGAAGCTACATAAACCATAATAAACGGGAAAATTTCAAAACTAGTCCCACAGGTATAGGGGTTGACATTTTTTGTCCCAATGAAATCTAGAAAATATTAATAGTCCCGCAACTTTTAAAAAATAATCAAAAGTAGGACTTTTTTAAAAAAAATTTCGGCCTGGAAAGCCACGTCGTACACACGTGGCGGAACTATTTAATATTTTCTGGATTCAGTTGGGACAAAAAATGTCTCCTCCCAAAACCTGTGAGACTAGTTTTGATTTTTTTCCTTTGGCATTGTACTCAATCACATCAGATGAATGTGGCCAGCGTGTAAAAAAAAAAAAACATGTGTGTGCGCGTGGCTTTCCGAGCCGGAAAATTGAAAAAAGTCATACTTCTGATCATTTTTTAAAAGCTGCAAGACTACTAATATTTTCTGGATTCTGTTGGGACAAAAAATGTCACCCCCTATACCTGTGGGACTCGTTTTGAATTTTTCTCCATAATAAACCAACTTCATGCAAATTAAGCTCCTCAATGCATATACATCAATGTACAAAATTCATTTCACAATAAATAAGTTAGAAACAATGCTTGTACATCATTTTTATACAAAATAGTATACATACATTCACATGAGGTAAGAACCACCTTAAATAAATAATAATAAAAAAAAATGTCTTTCATCACATATGATTAAATATTCACCTAACAAAATAATTTATATGTAAATTAAATATTAATGTTGGATGAAGTTAATTACATGAATATATTATATATTATTAATTATACAACTATACAATTCATAAAGAATGAGACTTATATTTAGTTCTAGTCTATAGTAAATCTAAGTTCTAACTTTGACAAGATACAGAAGATTTTGTTCTACTCTTTGATTCACAACTGAAATGTCACATCCAACTGACCATAGCCTTGTCTTACAGTAGAGGATGGGGTCATGGGATCTACAACTAATAGTTGCAAAGGTTGGGCTTAATTTGGGCTTATTTACAACCGCAAGTCAACTTAACGGCCCAATATGTGCTCTTCAGTTTCTTGTTTCTAGGCCGCACTGAAAGATAGGGAGCCCAGCTAATTTTTCCGGCCAGGGTTCGTTCAGGCTTTACTTTATGAAAACTTTGATGAGAATGCGTAAGTTAATAAAAACTTTTCATAAATCATATTATATATTAAGAAAATAATATAATATGGAAAGTAATAATCAATATGAACAACAAATCAACTATTCAGACACGGTGAAAATTGGTATGTTAAAAAAAATCGTAAATACACAAATAAAACATAATTTGTAGATCAACGGCGTAAATTTTCTCTATTTAGTTTGAATAAAAACTCTATATATTCTATATTATATATCTATATAAACAAACAATCTATTTACTAAAAATAGTAATAAAAAAAGTCAACCATCATTTATTGCATTCTATTTTTGATAGTTTTTATACTCCCTCCTATTTTATTATTTGTCGTTTTGAGAAGCAATACGCTAATTAAGATTTTTTTTTCTTGTCAATATTAACCTTATTTAATGGATGTTATGGGAAACAATGAAGATGGTATATGAACAGACATTGTGTATTAAATGGAGGGTTAAAAATCCTCCCTATATATAATTCCCGAATGCGCTGAGCCTATGTGGCTGCTTCTGGTGCTTCGGAATCCTATTTGGCGAAGAATCATGCTTCGTAATTAGGTTTGGATAAATAATATTGATATATTAATAATTAATAATTAATAATTTAGGTTCGGGTATTTCATAAATATTATTAAGCTAACTTAGGTATTTTAATATCACTTTTACTAATATAACCCTTTAATTCTTTGTAATTTTACATAGTGAGGCACTAAGTGACTAATATATCCTTGAATTTTGATTTGTTTTTTTCAATAAGCAATTGAATTATAAATATATTTTAAAAGTTGATAACTTATGTATTTCTTATCGGTTTTACATATATAATATATCAAATTAATCATCTTTTGATGATCTTCGATTTGATATCCATATTGTATATATGAAATAAATAAATTATATTTACCTTTATAATAATAAAAAATAATAATATTTATAAAAATTCATTAAAAAATAAAATTATTACTCAATTGATATATTTATATTTAATGTAGTTATATATTGTAAGTTAAAAAAATTAGTATAATATAACACAAGTAAATTGCACAAACAAAAAGTGTCATAATAAATATATAATAATATATATATTCTTATAAAAAGTATTTAAATTTTCAAACTACTTTTTCTCATTAATTTTAGATTTTAAGAAAAAAAAATTATCAAGCACCCGTGTAATACACGGGTGTTGTACTAGTAGAATAATATGAACAAAATAGTCAAAACGACATTTATGTAGTGAATGATCAATTAATTCAGGATGACAAATAATAAAAATAAGAGGTAATATTTTTTTAAATTATTCCTAAAAAAATAACAAGTGTAACTGTATATGAGTCATAAAAAATATGTGCATTTATTGATCAAATGATCAACACGGGCATAGAAGGATATTACTATAAATGTAAGTTACTGAATCCTATGTAACGAAAATGATAAAACTGTTCTTTCCTTCACAAAATATCTGAATTTCAAAATGAAAAAAATTAAACATTTAGAGGGCGATTGGTAAACAGTGAAAACAAGTGAAATTCGATCAAAATTGATTTTGAGTTAAAATGAGTTATTTTGAATAAAATTGATTGATTGAGATGAGTAGCATTGTAATTAAATAATATTTGCAATGTAATAATTAAAGTTGATGTGATATAAAAGTAGGTGAGAAATTTATGAAAACGAGATTGACCTTGTACTCTTGGATAAATATGAACGATTGGTTCCTTTAGAATTGTTATTTATTTCATTATTATTATTACTATTTGTACCGTTATTTAGGTTATTTAGATGGTTGGTGAATATTTATATATTTTCCTTATCCTTTTCTTAGTAGTCAAGTTAACTTACTTAAGGCTTCGTAGTTGGCGTGTTGGTGTTTTTTTAGTTTTTTAGTTGTGTGTAGTGTGTCCTCTATTCTAGCGTGGCTAGTGAGGTTCTAGGCGGTCTTTCGATCCGTCCTCTCAGTTTTTAGTTCTTGGTTGTATTATTCAGCCTTGGGCTGCTTGTTTTGCACAGTTGTGCGTTTTGATATATAATACCTCTATCGTTTCGGAAAAAAAAAAGGCTTCGTAGAATTTTTATTTAGGAAGACTTCTTTTTTTTAAGGGGCCGAACGATTTGAAATAAAAAATGAGAGTTTTCTCTTGTTCTTTTCACATTCGTTACGCTGCGCCACATCAATTGGTGTCTAGGGACAGTATGATCCAAGATGTCGCTGAAGAGGACCGAGGTGCAAATGAAAGGCATGACTCTGACATTGAGCCGTTGGATAAGTAGCAGAGATCACCCCGGGCTTTGAAGGAAATCGATCTCATGGAACGTCAGATTGCTCGACGGGATGCGTCTCGCCGACCATACCACTGTTCTACGCAATCCATCACACCACACCCATGGTGGGAGATGTGGTGGGATGCGTCGAGGTCGCGGTCGCGGTCAGGGTCCACATGGGGCGCTCCGTTCTCGGTTGCCTCACTCACGCGTGTCGGGGTACATCATCTCTTTGTTGGAAAAGTATTGAATGAAATTTATGAAACATAAACAATTGAAGTTTGAAACCGTGTTTAATCTTAACTTGGAACATTGTCTTTGAATTAAAACTTGTAACTTGCTTTAATGTTACAATAACTCTTAACTCAAATTTATTGAGTTTTAAATGAAGTGAGTTAATGAGTATGGCTTATCTTACCTATAAAAGAGTCTTCCACTTTTGAAGAAAAAAAACCTCACGAGAAGAAAGAATACAATTGTTAAAGTCCATTTCCCCCATTCTTCTTTAAGTGTTTTGGTCCAGACATAATTCCAGTTCGACGGATTTGTTTCGGTTATTCCGTTGTACCCTGGGAAACAGACGCTCATACGGGGCGAATCTGTTTTAAGAACACTGTGTTCTCACAGTCCTCGGTATTATATATTTAAGCCATCTTATTTTTATTTTCCCGATAAAGTTCCCTACAATCTTAAAACAAATTCGTATTAAAGATGGCTGCTGAACAAAATAATATTGACGTTGCAAATATCGGTGTTGCTACTACAATTTCTATTTCTCCTTCTGTTCCAGTAAATCATGCTGATAAACCGAAAAAATTTAATGGCTTGAATTTCAAGCGCTGGCAGCAAAAGATGCTGTTTTATCTCACTACGTTGAACCTTGTGAGGTTCTTGACGGAAAATCCACCAAGTTGGGGGAAAATCTTGAT